AGCAACATGGATGGACCTAGAGATTATCACACTAAGTGAAGTCAGACAAATATCATATATCACTTATATGTGGAATCTTAAAAAAATGGTACAAATGAACTTATTTACAAAACAGAAACAGACTCAGACCTAGAAAACAAACTTATGGTTACCGAAAGGGAAAGGTGGAGGGGCGGGATAAATTAGGAGTTTGGGATTAATATATACACACTACTATATATAAAATAGATAATCAACAAGGACCTACTATACAGCACAGGGAACTCTATGGGAAAAGATTCTGAAAAAGAATGGATATATATATATGTATAACTGATTCACTTTGCTGTACACCTGAATCTAACACAACATTGTAGATCAACTATACTTCAATATAAAATAAAAATTAAAAAATTTCTATATTAAACATATATTACTTGCATGATTTTTAAAGCATTGTTATTATTTCTGTATTATTATTACTCTTTCTATATGAAGTGCTCTCCTAGGGCCTTCACATTACCTGTAATTACTGGGTTCAAATAATGGATAAAAGAGGAGATATGAGACAGATGTCAGCATCGTTTGATGCAGAATCTTTTAGGCCTCTAAGACCATGTTACTAAAAGCCATGGTGTGGAGAACAGGAGAGTGGACAACACCTAAATAAGTGATCACCCGAGTGATGACCAGGTGACTCGAAAGCCTGGTGGGAGGAAAGAACACAGACAGAAGGCAGATAAACCTAGGCTCAAACTGCAACTCCGCGGTGACAAGTTACTTTGTAGTTTCAAGCCTCAATATTCTCATCTGTGAAATGGGGATGATATGATGACCCTTTCAAAGTATATCCCATTTGAAGTGGAGAATTTCTAGTAAATTCAGTACACAGTGAGTGGCATGGAGTAGGACTACAAACAAAACCAATGTCTTTCATCACTGAGAATAGGGGAAGTCGAGGAGGGAAGGGCAAAAGAAATAATCATATTTGCCTGCTACTGTTTAAACTTTTTAAACGGCAATTTCTTAAGAAAGGGAGGAAATGCCCCCCCTGTGAATGGGAGGGAAGGAAAGGCAGGAGAGCCAGGGGCGGGCAAGCAGCACAGGGCCCAGCACATGGACAGCCCTGGAGGCCTTAATTACACCCTCTTGGCCTTGGCCTTGGTCTGCACAGGTTCCACCAAGTTCTCTGGAAAATGCTTTATAGGGGCTTCCTGAGGACAGTTATTACCCAGTCTCACCCCTAAGCCCAAAGTGATTCCACAAATATCTGAGCTTCTACCACTGATGGAGCACTGTCCTCATACACAGAGGAGAGGAGGGAGATGAAACAGAGTTTAGTTTCAAAGGTCTGACGAAGTTATACACACACGCCAAGATAGAATGAGTAATCTGGGACACAAGCTTCACCAGGGAGATGTAAGAGCTACAGGAACGCGTGCCTCCTGCTGGGAAACGAGGGAAGCTTCCTGGGAAAGAGGGCAACTCTGCTGTACCCGAAAGTCAGAATGGGGTTTTAGCAGGTTCTCCACAGAGGGATCCTCATTCCAGAGAGGGCACAGCACGAACAATGAGTGACCCAAAGGCAAAGGGTGTGTCTCGGCAGGAGCAGCCCACTCGGGCCAACACGGGACACCTACTGAGGAGCAAGACTACCACCAACGACAATCACATCAGTAACCAACCATTAATCATGGGTATTATAAGGAGCAGTGAAAGAAAACGTGGAGGACTCCAATGTCAGGGTGACCTTCTGGACTAGCGGGGATGCGCTGAGCACAGGGGGGTGATGTGATTAGAGCTGTGCTTCTGTGAGATTAATGTGGCCACTATGCAGGAGTCAAATTTGCAGGGAGAGAGACTTCCAGCCAGAGGTCGGGAGACTATTGCAATGGTCCAGACTCTGACGGTCAGGGTTAGAGAGGAGACTGCAGTCACACAAGGAAACTACAAGATGCAAACAAAAATAAATAAGGATGCAATCTGACGAGTAATTTCCAGGATAATTTAACTCTAGTCTTAACACAAGCACAAATATCTATATGAAAAATGGGGAAAGGTCAGCTCTAGCTACTGACTTCTTACTTTGGTGCTCAATGGATGCCACTCCACACTCCACCAAAGAACAGCATCCTGTCCTGAAAAAAGCCTTGAAAGGCAGAACAGTGTTCCCAAAACATGAAAAAGGAAAATCCGGAACTCCCATTTGCCATGCAAGCCTCGGAATCAATTCAGAGCAGTATATACTTCCAACCCTTGACGGAGGGCTGTGACCACACTTAATGACAAAATTATAAACTCCAGAGAATTTCTTTCCCCTGAAATAGTTTCCCATCTCCAGAGAACTATTCATGTCTAAAGTTCCTGATCAGGCCTAGGCCTGGCCCGGAGGCCCCAAGTCATCTTAGATTTCTTGCCTTACGTGACAGGAGACAGAGCAGCTGAGGTGAACGTTTCCTACCACCAAGAGTAGCCACTAAAGAATGTCAGCTGGAGATTTCAACAAGCAAATCTTACTTAACAATCAGGAAAGGGGAAGTACAAAGGGGAGGGGGAAAGAATGGAAAACAAGCCGCATAAAATAAATGATGGTTTTAATGCTTTGGACTAGGGGATCAATAACACTGGAAAGAGAGGTGGAAAGCACAGAAGGGTGGGAACCACGTTCTAGGTCCAGGGAAGGATGTTTCAAGGAACGCATTACGCAGACACGCTGCAGGCCGAGGGACCATCATGCATGCCCTCTGGACAAGGCAGAAATGCACCCTCCTTCCCGCCAGAAAAAGCCCAGGTGACATGCCCAGCAGAGGTCTCGGCGTATTCACAGCAGCCACCTCTATTCTGGGGGTGGCTAGCTCATTCGTAGCACCCAGGAAGGGTGAGCTAAGAAGACAGCTTTCTCCTAGAGAGTATTAGTAAGAATTAAGCCAAGTGAAAGAGAAGCGCTTTCCCTCAACTACCTGACAGCCCTTTAGAAAGCTCTGGAGAGGAGAGGTACGATGGTGGTGAAAAATGAGCAGGACCACACTTGTGAATTTTCCAAGGAAATTTACTTCTCCAAGAAACCAAACTTTAAAATCTTAAGCATTTTAAAGGAAGAATTTCCTCAAAATATATTAGACTGAACCATAAGCAATCAGCATTTTTGTAGGTCAAAAACAGTCGAATATTAACAATTTCATGTGACTGAATCGTACTACACGCCTTCCAACTTTTTCTACAGCAGAGACAGGCAAATTTTTTCTTAACAGACCAGACTGTAAGTATTTTAGGCTCTGAGGGCCAAAAGGCAAAACAGATTATGTAGGTAACCATTCAAAAACATGAAAACCATTGTTAGGCCCTACAAAAAGAGGCATGGGCTAGATCTGGCCCATGGGCCACCCTTTGCCAATCTCTGTCTTACAGTATGACAAGGGTAAACTTTTTCTGATAATGTTCACTATAAAAATGGCTGACTTTACAGTAATACAGTGATGCCCTTGGAGGATACGAAAGTCTATCAGTAAAAGCCACTGCTCCCATCCCAGCCAGCTCTAACGCTGGTGGTTGGTCTGAGCCCCCAGTCTGCTGTTAGCACTCCCTTCCGCTGCTCCTTCTACCGATCTGGCTTATTTTAACTTTTTTGTGTGTGTGTGTGTGTTACGTGGGCCTCTCACTGTTGTGGCCTCTCCCGTGGCGGAGCACAGGCTCCGGACGCGCAGGCTCAGCGGCCATGGCTCACGGGCCCAGCCGCCCCGCGGCATGTGGGATCTTCCGGACCGGGGCACGAACCCGCGTCCCCTGCATCAGCAAGCGGACTCTCAACCACTGCGCCACCAGGGATGGCTTATTTTAGAAGCAGTTGTCTGCGGGAGGGTTTGAGGATGGTTCTAACTTTTCTACGAAGAAAAAAGAAAAAGAAATGTACAAGGAAATGGGGCTTAACGGTAACTGTGAATAACCATTAACTACAGAAAGGATAGGGGAGCAAAGGCACTCTGAGGAATTACCCCAAACACACCCCTGATTTGAATTCAGAATTCCAGAGGCCCAAAGGGCAGCAACAAAAACAGGTAAATACCTAAACAGCTGGCCCAAGGCTGAAAGACAAAAGAGAGCAAAAAATAAGTTTGAGACAGACTATGCTTTATAGAAATAAGAGAGATCATTAAATGGGCAATAACCATTTTTCTCCTAAGTTATCAGGGTAGAGCCAAATAGGAAAAGGCTGCATTTGTAGCCACTCCCAAAAGACTACTGTTGGGAAAACTTAACTGTCGTGAGACACAGAAAGTCATCAGAGAATCAACAGCTTCCTCCTATGGAGAATGTTAAGAAATTAGAGTCGGGGGCTTCCCTGGTGGCGCAGTGGTTGAGAGTCCGCCTGCCGATGCAGGGGACACGGGTTCGTGCCCCGGTCCGGGAGGATCCCACGTGCCGCGGAACAGCTGGGCCCGTGAGCCACGGCAGCTAAGCCTGTGCGTCCGGAGCCTGTGCTCCGCAACGGGAGAGGCCACAACAGTGAGAGGCCCAAGTACCGCAAAAAAAAAAAAAAAAGAAAAAAACGAAATTAGAGTCGGGGACTCTCTCGCCAACATGTATTCAACAATGACATACCCTGAGGACCTCTTCTGGGTCCATGAATTTTTTTATTGCAAAAGAATTTTTTAAATCACTGGGAAATGTTTATAATTTATGGCATTGCTATTGTTTCAAATGTTATATATTGTGATGAAAAAGGAGAACTTAAACAAACAAAAAAACCTGCATGTGAGTGGATGCGCTGAAACAGAAAAGGCAGATTGCTGATATACACTTCTGGTCTGTCTTATAGGGCCACTGAATTATAAAAATCCTAATTTAGATAACATTTCTCATCATTCAATATTAAAAACTTACCCTAGAGCAGATCCATTCTCCTGCATTTCTAAACACTGTCATGTATATCTTATAAACCTTCACCAGTTCAGTAGCCTGCAATATTCTACACTGAAAATTAAAGGAAAAAAAAAAGAGAGAGAGACAAATCCCATACATACATGAGCTGCCTGGATAACAGTGAGCCTCTGGGTACCGTCTGCCCATAGCGACCAGTCAGCACATTATCAGGGGCCCCGGCAGTTTCCAAGTACTCAGGAAAGACTGAGATGTTTAAGCTGTGGTACAGGGAGGGGGAGACAAAAAGAAAGTAGAAATAAAAAAACAGATTCAGGATAATGATTGCATATTTTCATTCAAATGCTACTGATGACCACAAATTTCCAGATAACCAGGTTTATGAATTATTCACAGTCACATCCGAGATGAAGTCTCCCTGTCACTGTTGGCAGGCCCAGAGCACGTTGATGATTATTAGCATGTGGCCCCTATACTAAGTGTGACAGAAGTGCACATTGCTGCAAATCTATCCATCAGGGCTGGCCCTCACTGGCCCTCTTTATTTATTTGGCCATGCCACGTGGCATGTGGGATCTTAGTTCCCTGACCAGGGATCAAACTGCACTCCCTGCATTAGAAGGGCAGAGTCTTAACCACTGGACCGCCACTGGCCCTCTTTAGAGGAGCAGACAACCCCACCCACGCTGACGCTTTTTCATCTCACTCTTCCTTAACGTCAAGGAATAGCACTAGCCTGGTTCTTTGTTGTGACATCTAAACTGATATGCTGTAAAAAAAAAAAAAAAAAAAAAAAAAACTCTACAAGCTTGAAAGGAAAAACTAAATTTTCTACAATGGGTAGCAAAGACATCAAATTAATTTTTTTTTAACTTTTCATTGAAGTAGAACATAAATACAGAAAAGGACACATACCACACACGGACAGCTCAGTGAATCTTCCTACACTGAACACACCAGATCAAAACCCAGAGCATTATCAGTACCCCAGAAACCCCCTTCGTGCCCCCTCCTAAAGGTACTACTACACATAGATTACTTTTGCCCTTTTTTGTAGACATCAAATTGATTTATTGTCCTTATCCAGTCTTCACTTAAAAAACATACGTTGAACGCCTCCTATATGTGAAGACATAAGGCACTGTCTCTGTCTTTAAGGAAAGCAAAGTCTAGTGGGACCAAGAAATACACACAGCTGACCCCAAAGGGCAGTGGGATGAGCACAATGACTGAGATTCATGGCAAGCAGCCCAGAAATGGAGAAGTCAGGGAAGGCTTCCAAGTACCAGGGGTGCCTGACATGTCCTCAGGCTGGGCAGGACTTAGCCAAGCGGGGACTGGGAAACAAGACAACGGAAAAGGCAGGAGTAAGAAAAGCTGCCTGATGTATTGTGTTGCTGGACTCTCTAGAGTGAGGCCAGGAAAGAAGCTGGAGCCTGACTGTAACCTTGTACACATATTCGAGAACTTCAGTTGCAGACAGCCACTGATGGATCAGAGCTGGGTTTCAGATGCATGACTCTCTCTCTGGATGGATTCAAAGAGGGCAGAGTAGCGGCAGGGAGACCAGTTAGGCTGGAGAGGAGGGTGAAGATTAGGGCAGTGGAGGTAGGTGGGGAAGGAAAAGGAGAGAAGAATTAGTACTTGGGAAACATCCAGACACTAAAAGCAGAGCAACACGGTACCTGACTACATGTGGGTGGATGGCAGTGACAAATGAGGTAGCGAATACTAGTGAATTAACAAGTTTAATAAGGAAGACAACAGGTTTAGTTTGGTGCATTAGAACTTGAGATGTAGAAGACTCGAGTGAGGACAACCAGATATTCTTGAGAGTGAGGCTTGGGGAAGAAACCTGAGCAAAACGTAAAGGCACAGAAGTGGTCACTACATAGAAAGTAGCAGAAATTAGATGAGCGGGTGATATCACTGAAGGGACATGGGTAGAGGGAGAAGACTGGAGGATTAGGGCCAAAAGCACAACCGTAGAGACAATGACAGAACTGGCAGAGGAAAAAGATCTTCTGAAAAGGACCAAGGAAGAAAGGCAGAGAGGTACCGTGGAATACAATGAGATGAATAAAGATAAGAAATGAAAACTATAGCTTTGGCTTTGACACTTAAGCAGTCACTGGCCACCTTGACTGAAGGTGGTTTCACTGAAGTGGTAGAGGCAGCGATAACAGAGCAAGTGAAGGAAGAGAAAGGAGAACGAACAGTTGTTGAAAGGCACTGGTGCTAATTAATGGAAGTCCGTATTGACAGCAGTAGAGGCAGAAAGGTTGAGAGTTCAAGAGGGAGGAGGTAAGGATGGAATAAAATCCCGAAGGAGGTGGGGGAAAAGGGTCAGGAGTACAAACGAAGGGCCTGACCTTGAAGAGGAAGGGGTAATTCACAACCCTCTTATATTAGAAGTATATTAGACTTAGAGGAGTGAAAACAAATCTGGTTATAGTAAGTTTGTAGGTAACAGCACTACGATATTAGAGGTAATAGACTAAATGACATCAGCATTGTAGGTAAATAGCTGCCATGGTTCTTTGCTAGGAATAAGTTGACACATAAATGGTTTGATGACATAGATCTTGAAAATCTTGGTTTCTGGCATGCTACCCTGTTACAAGTAGTCTGACCCTGTTTTAAGGTAGATAAACATATACGCCAGTACATATCAAGGTGCGAAGCGGCATTTGCGAGATAGGCACACCCACAGTAGAACTTATTAGTAGTACCCAAAAAATAGCATACAAGCAAAAGATTCAGAAGAACACTCTTCTTATAATGATCTTTGTTCCCCGGTGCCAACCTTTCCAAAGGTTTACATATAGTTTCATTTAAATGAAACCACTACCCACTATCGTACAAGGCCTCTTAAGATGCTTCCATTCAAAGATTCTTTCTAGCATGACTAACCAAATGAGAATGAAGAGTCAGGCATCTTAAAGAAAAGGCAAAAAGGAGAGTGGAGCTGGCAGCGGCACCTGCCCGCGATTTCCTAGCGAAACGTCCCTTAAGACAGCAGCGCAGTCATCATCCTCCATCTCCTGCCCACTCTTTCGCCTCAGATTTTGGTGAATCCGGAAGTGGGTGGAGTGACCTAGCTCTTGGAAAGCACTCCAACGATGCCAAAAGTAGCAAGGCTCATTAGAAAATCTAATGCAATGGAAAACACCTTGAAAAGCAGATTTTCTGTTCTCTAGGCAGCCTTTGTGATCTCACAAGCTCTGAGGCTGCTCCAGGGTTGTTTGTCTATTCTGGTCACATGAACATGTCTCCAGGCCATCTTTGGAAGATGACAGAATTTTAGAATTCTAGATAAACACATCATTATCATCCTTGAAGTCAGCCAGGACTGAGATGGTTCCAGAGCCATCAGATGACTACTGACTGCGCCATTCGTCTTTGTGTCCCTGGGGCACAGGAGACAGGGCAAGCGGTCCATAAATATGGAATCAATCGATAAACCAATACATAAGCGAAGAGTTCTCACAACGAGGAGGTAAAGAGGCCAATTAAATGGTGAGAACAGAATTAGTCTTTCTATTCCTTCCTTTCCCACCCTAACTGACTCAGAGCCAAGCCGCAAATCGCATTCAACTGCATTTACTTTCCTCTTCACAGAAGAACGTCTCTGTGAACTCATAAATAAATATTGTGTGTTAAGAGAAATCAGAAATCATGAAATTATGAAAAACAGGATGTCTCTTAAGTGGGAAAATACGTAGGTGCGAACATTTTGAGCGTACAAAGAAACAGAAATTGCCCACTTTACATCTATCTGCCTTCTTTGTTACCCTTTGATGTGAAGGACAGACCCATTATTACTTTAACAGCAGGGTGCCTCTCCTCCCAGCCGCGCATTCACACAGCAACCCACTCAGCTTCAACCCACTGGGCAACAGATCCTAATGAGATAATCAAGTCTCGCTCCCTTAAAAAGTCTGATCCTAAGATATATTTATATTATGCATCATCTCATTTCTTTTATAACGCATAAGCTCTAAGGTATCACTGAGCACACTGAACACACTTTACACATGACAAGAAGCGCACTGTAGTATTGTTTGGAAACAACTTTAAGGATAAAGTTCCCGAAACTGAGAAATAGTGGGGCTGTTGTACTATGTGACATTTTTCTGAACTGTTAAAAAAATAACTCAGTCCTGAAACATCCAATCTGTTTCTGCCCATCTGAACAGCAATATATGGAGAAGGAAACAGATCTCTGAGACTGCCATCCTTTTTCCTATTCTTGATTAAGAATCTAGGAGACCAAGATGAACAATACACCATTCACTTGAATGCAAGCCACCAAGGGGAGGAAAGGAATATTTATGCCAGTGCACAAAGTGTTTAGTGTGCAACTTTTTAATTACTATATTTATGGTATTACCATAATATATTCACTAACACAAATGCTCTACAGGGACATTAACCCTCAACAAATACATCAATGCTTCCCTCCTGTCCTCCAAATTCTTATTATGCTGACATGGGGCAAAAATGCCAAGAATTCTCTCCGAAATAAACATTTCATGTCAACAATCACTTGTTCAACTATCTCCCTTTCTAACTGTTTTATAACATAACAACTCTACTTAAGTATTTGCTATTAACCTAAAAGACAAATTTGTAAGCAAAATATTTTTTAAAGGGCTTTGTTTAATGTACCATCTTTTTTGATATGAAAGCTGTTCCAAGCTACTAAAAAAGTTGATTATGTTCTAAATAACATATTCTGTAACTCATCAAATTATAAGTCTCTGCATCACTCTGCACTTATACTACTATATAATTTCTGCTTTTTAGAAACCTCAAGGGGTAAGGCATTGAGGATGATGAAGAGTTTCAAAATGGCTGAAGGATGACCCACCTAAGTAATAAAATGGGTTTAATTTCAACCATACTGGATTTTTTTTTTTCTTTTCTAAAAGGTAATGTCTTCTCGGAGAATCCAGAATGTGATTAGGCTTTGGTGACACAGGATCATCAATATGACTATCAATTATCATGTTCTGTCAGAACATGAGAACACTATCTCTGAGGAAAAGAAGCCGGTCCAGTGGATACTAGGCAGATGTTGAGTTTCTACCACCATGATGAGAGCTAGATGGGGAGTTCCCACCAAAGCAACAGGACACTCTGAGAATCAAAGGGAAGAGATTGATGAAATTCAAACACCAAGGAAAAGGAGAGCCAAAGGTGAAATCGAAGTCACAGATCCAGATCTAGAGCCAAGTGGAGTCAGGATGTGAGTGGA